GGGGAAATAAAATTATTGTTGCCAAGAAAATGAAATCATGAACATACAGTTTACAATTAGCGAGGATCTAAAAATAAATTAATTAACATTAAATAAGCAATAACTAATTCTAAAAATAAAAAATCTGAAAGCTTTCAGATACGCCTAATTGGGCATTTTGTTAACGTTTTGTGTACTATCTTTATTTATTAAATATCATGTTCTTCGCACTTAAACCACAAAATTCATTTCGACAGCAATATCACAAAATATTAAAAAAGAGCATGTCTTTAGAATTCCCAATGCACGGTCTCGCGCGCTGGACATAAAACTTTTTTTTTGGTATAGTGTTGCCACCGCTCGCTTTGAAATCGACGAGTTTGTTAACAGAAAATTCTTTAAAGTTTTACAAAATATGAAATAGTAAAATAAAGCCCAAATTCCATATTTTTGCTTCCAGATGCCGATATTCGAGTGGAGAACTCCGTTATTCAGAATTAGATGTCTCTAGGTACCGTTTTTCTTTTTCACAATGCGATAAACATACGCACCTTCTCATTATTTCATTTCTGTAAATATAATGCCGGTCTTTACAATTTGGTGGTAGCAATTTGAAAAGTGAAATGCCGTTTCATAGTGGATGACACAAAATGGCAAAACTAAAATAATAGTCCTTCTATGAGAATTCGCCTTTGGGCTAATAAAATTAAAAATAAAAGGTAGTCGAAGTAGAAGAGATATGCTAAATAAATGCTAAATAATAAGATAACTGAAATAAACAGCATTTAAAACCTACACATCGTTAAACATATCCCGTATTTAAGTGAGGAAAAAAATTTTGTATATTTGAAATCATTCTCATTCAGTTTAAACGCTTGTATTTAAAAATTTATTACTAATACGTTGATTGTTCGATGACCGATAGAAAACATTCATTACTGATTCCATTTCGCCCAAATAAAAATTAAGGTAACTCGTTATCTCCTTCTCCTGAAATTATTGCATTTCATTCATTTAGAACGTAAATTTAAAACAAGTGGGGGATATTAAAGAAAGGTTTGGAAAATGTTTTAAATTTCCAGCGATCGAATCCACTGAAAACTTGCAGAAAACTCAGAAAATGGGATTACGTAACTTCATATTGTACTTTCGGAAAGTGAGTTTTGGAAATGAAATATTACCCACAGCTGTATATTTTTCAAAACGAATAACAACAGATGCCTGCTGAAAACAAAGTTTATATCCTTGGCACTTCAGCAGATCACGTAATAGCTGTTGTCTATTGACTATGATAAAAAAAAGTAACCTTGGACAACCCTTTGTGAATTCCCAGGTTTTTATCTTAGCGAATTCCCTTTATCTCTTTTCTAGCGGTTCAATGAAAGGTGTTGATTCTTCGAAATAAACTGTTGCCGTCAGAAAGGAAACAACAGTTGGAATGTTTGATTTCAAAACGCTCTTTAACTACTAATTTTCTCTGCAGATTCGATTAAAAATTATAAATTTGCGAGGTTTTTTAAAAATTAAATAGCATATATTTGTGTATTATATACCTCGCGTATCCCCCCCTCTAGCTTTTTAGCGCTAGGTTTTAAAAATTTTAAAAATATGTATATAATTTTTCCCCTTCCCTTGATTATTTTTATTTTTATTTAGTGTGATCAGCTTATATTTTCAATTTTGTATTAGCATTTCATCCATTTCATTTTTCCTTACATTTATTGTTTGAAAAATATTTTATGCAGGTTTTTCGTTAATTTAAACTGTCGTGGCAAATGTTCTCATATTTAAGAAACTTCGGAAACTTATAATTTCACCTTACTTCTATTATTTAGGCTCATTCATGTGTATTGCCTCTGGGGCTTTACGAGGTAATTTAGGGGAACACATCACGCCTCGCTTTTAATAACTGTCAGATATGAACTCAATATCCATCGGCTATTGTAATATTAGCATGTATTCTTACCGGAATGTAGGCTTTTTCTAAGAATAGTATTCTGATAATTACCAGTAGTTTATCCGTGACTATTTTTCATTTGTTATGGTTTTACTGTAGTCACGCTAACTGGAAATTAAATAATTCGAATAGTTTTCCCAATTTTCCCGATCCCCGGTAAAATTAGTCAAAAAAAAAGGGGGGATACGCGAAATACGATAATTATTTGGCATTTTGGTGAATTAGTACTTCATGTTACACTTTAAAACTCATAGCAGATCATCAAAAACTGCATTCTTATTATCTATTTATACCGGGTGATCAAAAAGTCAGTATAAATTTGAAAACTTAATAAATCACTGAATAATGTAGATAGAGAGGTAAAAATTGACACACATACTTAGAATGACATGGGGTTTTATTAGAAAAGCAATAATCTGATCAGAAAAGCAATAATTAGCATATCAAATTAAGACAAAGCAAAGATGATGTTCTTTACAGGAAATGCTCAATATGTTCACCATCATTCCTCAACAATAGCTGTAGTCGAGGAATAATGCTGTGAACAGCACTGTAAAGCATGTCCGGAGTTATGGTGAGGCATTGGGGTCGGATGTTGTCTTTGCATCCCTAGAGATGTCGGTCGATCACGATACGCTTGCGACTTCAGGTAACCCCAAAGCCAATAATCGCACGGACTGAGATCTGGGGACCTGGGAGGCCAAGCATGACGAAAGTGGCGGCTGAGCACACGATCATCACCAAATGATGCGCGCAAGAGATCTTTCACGAGTCTAGCAATATGGGGTGGAGCGCCATCCTGCATAAAAATCGTACGTTCCAGCAGGTGTTTATCAGCCAGGCTGGGGACGATGCGATTCTGTAACATATCGGCGTACCACCTCACCCGTCACTTTAGCAGTTACAAAACCAGAATCACGCATTTTTGAACTTTTTTTTTTTTTTTTGGTTCTAATAAAACCCCATGTCATTCTAAGTATGTGTGTCAATTTTTACCTCTCTATCTACATTATTCCGTGATTTATTAAGTTTTCAAATTTATACTGACTTTTTGATCACCCGGTATATACACTCTTTTGCAAAAAAATCGAAGCACCAAGAAGGACTTTTGCGGTCGTGACGAAATTTGGTATGCAAAAACATTTTGATCGAACATGCAATTGATCAAAGTTTCAAGGCAAATGAACAGAAATTGCGATCATAGTGCGCAATTCCCAAAATATAAAACCAGTAACAGAGGCGGAAAATTTATCTTTCTTTGTTGCTTCCATTGTAATTCCGTAAAGAAGCAACTAAAGATACCATTACGACGATATCGAAGACCTTAGAGGCAACTAAACGACTTCGAACGTGGTCGCATTGTAGGGTGGTCATACCGAGCAATAGGCCCCCACCTGCAGCGTATAGACACCGCTGGTGCAAAGATGTTGGCAGCAATGGTTGTTGCTACAAGGAAATTGCCGACGAAATGAAGGCTCCCCAACGGTATCATTGTCGACTATTCAACGCACTACAGCCACGTCTATACCTCCCGTGGTACCGTCCACCATCTCACGGCGCTTGTCTGAGGCGGGGCTACGCTCACAGAGGCCTTTAAGACATTTGCCTTTGAACCCACATCATCGGCAGCGTCGTCTGGAGTGGCGTCGCAGCCGATCATCATGGCTGCCATCAGACTGGCATCGTATAGTGTTCAGCGATGAATCTCGCTTCACTTTGGAAGCACATGACCACCGTACTCGTGTCTGGAGAAGACGGCCAGCGGTCCCATTCAGGCTTTGTTTTACAAAGGCATACAGCCGTAACCCCTGGTGTGATGGTGCGGGGCGCTATTTTTTATTACAGCAGGTCATCCTTAGTCATTCTTCCTACATCTTTAATAGCTCAACGATATGTTGATACCATCCTGCAGCTGGATGCGTTACCCTTCATGGCACGTCATCCTGGGGCCATTTTCCAACAAGATAAATGCCAGGCCACATATCGCTCGCATATCTCTGGGCTGTCTCCGTGCAGTTGATACTCTTCCTTGGCCAGCAAGTTCACCAGACCTTTCACCAATCGAGCATGTGTGGAATATGGTAGGTCGCCAGATTCGGGCACGACAAAATATCGCAGATCTGAACGACAAATGATGAATACCTGGCAGAATGCGTGGCAGGATAACATTAGGAACCTCTACCACTCCTTGCGTCGACGAATTTAAGCATGCATTGCCGCCAGGGTCGGTTCGACCACTCACTAATTTGAACGCTCAATGGGTGATTGTGAGCCGTGAACAGGTACTATGATTTAATCATTTTATTATCTGTGTATGAGCTATACACACATTCAATTTCATCAAAAGCAACAGCTTCCTTCATGATGCTTTGATTTTTTTGCAAAAGAGTGTATAAAAGGAAGATTCTGTGTGTCTGTGTGTGCGTCTTTCGTTCGTGCTGCGCGTAAGCTAATAGAATTTAGTACAGGTGCATCTAGAGAAGACCTCGAAACGACTTTTTCAAAATTTGAACCAGACTTTTTAAAATTTTATATTGTTTGATGAAATCGCATCAAATCGATAATTCTCTCTCATTATACCAGCAAACAATGGCACGCAGCCATTGTTGCTGGTTAATTTATTTATTAATGAATATTTGTATTAGGGGATATTGCTTATTTCATTGAAATTTTTTTTATTTGTAATACATCTGTATTGAATTTTTAAGTTGTTCTGCAGAGTAAAATTCTGTGCAGTTTTTAAATTTAATGTTTGGTGTTCCCTTTAGGCATTTTTGCGGTACATTTAAAAGCCAGACGACAATTGGCTGCGGAGCAGCTAGTTAATGATAGTTATAAAATTGGCCGAAGTATTATTGAAAACGGCTCGAGAATGGTACCCATGAAAGCAAAATAATAACATAAATTATTCTATGCATCTCCTCTTATATATCTTGTACTACTTATTTTTAATATAAAATAATTATATGGCAGTGAAGTCTTTGATAAAGAAAAACTGAAATATTTTCCCCTTAATAATGTACGGAATATTTGGACTAGTTGTGTAGAAAATTTGTACAAGGTCATGGTCAGTTTGGAAACGGGGTCAAATGGTCATGGTATGAAAGGATGTTTTAGATATCGCCATCTTTCTTCTTCTTATCAATGCTGCAAAAAAAGCTTTTCTAAAATTTTTTAAGTCATATACCTAGATGGTGTGCCATGACGCTGGAGTTCAAATTTATGTATATTGTCATTTTTAACATAATTTGTTATTATTTATAGAATTTGACCTACTTTCATGTAAATAGAATAGCTTAGGTATTATTCTACGTATTATTTGGTTTCAATATTTAAACAAGAATCATTGAAAAAATATGTAACGAAACTGAATTATAACTCCACTTATATTTGCATTTTTAATACACTAGCTGTCACCCGCCTAATCTAGTTTTCATAAAAATATGTAATGACTTTAATGAATCCTGCTAGTGCAATTTCATAAAAATATTTTTTCTCTAAGTTAGATATCTCATGATTCAAATGCATTATTTAAATCAATCAAATTAAAAAGAAAAAAATATTCTTAAGAACTGTGTTTATTCTTGGTATCTTACGCGTTACTGAATGGTAACATGCTCGGAAAATATTTTATTTCAGGCTGTGTGTGTCAACACATTATTTTTAAACATCAGAGTTTGTTGATTAAAATGAGATAGATGCATTCCGCAAGAGATGAAGAGGAAGAATGCTATTTCTTGTTTATTTTAGCTATACATAAGTCAGGTGATCTCTGAGCTCATCTGAAAGTATCTCATTGAAAGTCTAATAGCTTACATTTTGCCGAATGGCAACAGTCTTGGGCGTTGGAGATCAAAATGTTTTATTTCGAACAGTGTTGCCACAAATCGCTGAGTTTATGCATAAAATTTCATTAAATTCGTTCAAAATATGAAACAAATCAAAAACAATTCGAAATGCAGATTTCTAGCTTGGAGGTTCCACATGTTTGAGTGGACGACTACGTCTGTTCCTAATTTATTTGATAGCTCTAGGAGTCGCCATTTTCCCACAATGTGAAGAATGTACAAACATATTACATGCATACAGTCTCTTTGTTGCTTAATAGCAGAGATTAATTTAGTTTCCTATTTAATTTCGGTGCCAACAGCTATGTCAAAATAAAGGAATTTTTCAGAAAGCTACTTTGATTTTATTTCATTTCCTACTTAATGAATTAATTGTAAAGGAAAACTAAAACTCTACTTACACGACAATATCCTGGCGTGGAGAGCCGCCACCGTTATGAAAATTTCCCGTTCATGGTAACTTACCTTCAATAAAGGTGCCCTTGTCTTTGCATTGGGGCACTGTTATATTGGCGTACACTAATGCTTCCTATAGGCGTTGGCATTAAGCCAACGTACAGTTATGCTGCTACCGACCAAAATAACCAATCTTTTTAAAAGAAGTTTTTTTACTTCCTTGGACGAAGTAAAAGAAGTATTGTAATTGCGAAAAATTTCGGGTCTCATGTTTCAACGAAAATATCCATTTCAACCGCCATCGAAACCATTTAAACGATGGATGTTTTTGAGTGACATCTGTACGTACGAACAGAATAAAAGACTGTTTTTGCTAAAATAGAATACAAAATTGATTTAAAATGAATTCAGAAGAGATTTTTTTTCCTTGATTTCTGTACGTACGTCCGTAAGTATCTCGCATAACTCAAGAACGAGTAGCCGTAGAACGTTGAAATTTGGTATATGGGACTGCTACAACATGTAGTTGTGCACCTCTCGTTTTCGTTGCAATCGGCTGCATCAATCATATACAAATATTATATATATATATTACCACCTGTTACCTGGCTCGATGAGCTTAGTGTTAAGCTCACTGAGACAGGTTACATTATTAAGGTTTTTTATGTTCTTGTTGAGCTCACACTCTACCAGTCTGCTGTTACATTTGCTCTCACTAACCCATTTTTTGAGGTCTTTTCATTTAGCTTTATTATTAAGCATAATTTTTCTTGCCACTTACGCCATACGCAATTCAACAGCAAAATCAAAATTTTAAAAGCAGCATAGCAGAAAATGTTTAGAATTCCCGGTCTTTTCTCAGTTTATTTTATCAGTGTTCGATTCTTCTTACTGAGATGGGTTTAAAAAACTTTTATTTGTCTTTACATTATTAACGTTTTGTGTGTTTACTTTAATCATTAAATATCACGTTCTTGTCGCTTACGCTACATAAAATTCAATTAAACGGCAAAATCACAAAACATTAAAAAACAGCATATCTTTATAATTTTTGGCAGACAGTCTCATGCCCTGGAGATGTAAATGTTTAATTCCGTACAGTGTTGCTACTGCTCGCTTTGAAATCGTTGAGTTTGTTAATCAAAAATTCGTTTAAACGAATTGTTTTTTGAAGGTATATTAATTAATGGATTTCATCTAGCTTAGAAAGTTTATACAGCATTAGAATCTGTACATACCTGAACGAAAGTGATTAATTAATTATTTGCCTTAATTAGTTAACAATTCTTTGAATATATCAAGAAATGAAGCGTTTATCCGTTACTGCAATTATACCTTAAATATGCTTCAGGAAATATAAAAACGAAATATGATTTTGGAACTTTATTTAATTAAGGAGAAAAAGTGTCGAGCACGATTATTATTATATTTGTTGAAAGCAAATTAAATAATCACGTATAGATGATGAAAAACTATCGACGATTTTGCTACATTAAAAACAAAAACAAATGAAAATTATAACAAATTTTTATCGTAATTAAATAATAATTGTTAATATTATGTTTTAATGCTAATGACTTTACAATAGTGGAAAAAGCTAACCTAAACGTAGATGGGAAGGTTCATCAAGTGCACGTTCATTAAGTAATATCCGGTTGTAACGAAAATTATCTGCTTGAGTCAGCTCATGCGGCACCTAGTGATTGAACTTGTACGTCAAGTTTATGCCATGCATAGCGCAACTAATGAATATGGCACTGACGTCTATCTCCTCAGCAAGCTCTCGAGTGGTTGCATACTGATCTTCTTATACAAATTCTCGCAGGCGGACCTCATCGACATCAGTAGGCCGACCAGAACGCTCTGCTTCTTGAATGTCATAGTCCTTGTTTTTGAATTTTCGGTAGCAAACCTTCACAGTGTCGTATGATACAATATTAGCACCTAAAGCTATACGCATGATTTGGTGACATTCTGTAGCTGACTTTTTGCAACAGAACTTCAAGTAAAAAGTGATTCTAACCTGGTAGCGTGATAGTTCTTTCAGACACCTTGTGCTTAATGATAATGATATTTTTTCTTACAAATTGCACAACACAGTATTCTTAGGAAGTCTGTTTCTTTCAAACGCCAAAAATCGTTTGACAAAATATGATTAAACACGCCAACGCGAACTGTTTGCGCAGACGATATTTGCGGTAGAGGGAAACTTTCGTTAAGACCCGATTTTAAGTATTCCGTTGTAGAGACATTAGGTATTTTTAGAATTAGGAGAGATGAAAAAAGAGCAAACGCCTTGCTTGGGAATCGAACCTCGGACCTTTGGAATACGCGCCCAGCGTGCAGACCACCACACCACGAAGGCCCTTCCAAGAAGGCGGGAGAAATACCTTATACCGTTAAAAATAAACGGTATAAGATATTTCTTGATATATTCAAAGAATTGTTAACTAATTAAGGCAAATAATTAATTAATCACTTTCGTTCAGATATGTACAGATTCTAATGCTGTATAAACTTTCTAAGCTAGATGAAATCCATTAATTAATATACCTTCAAAAAACAATTCGTTTAAACGAATTTTTGATTAACAAACTCAACGATTTCAAAGCGAGCAGTAGCAACACTGTACGGAATTAAACATTTACATCTCCAGGGCATGAGACTGTCTGCCAAAAATTATAAAGATATGCTGTTTTTTAATGTTTTGTGATTTTGCCGTTTAATTGAATTTTATGTAGCGTAAGCGACAAGAACGTGATATTTAATGATTAAAGTAAACACACAAAACGTTAATAATGTAAAGACAAAAAAAAGTTTCTTAAACCCATCTCAGTAAGAAGAACCGAACACTGATAAAATAAACTGAGAAAAGACCGGGAATTCTAAACGTTTTCTGCTATGCTGCTTTTAAAATTTTGATTTTGCTGTTGAACCGTGTTTGGCGTAAGTGGCAAGAAAAATTATGCTTAATAATAAAGCTAAATGAAAAGACCCAAAAAAATGCCTTAGTGAGAAAGAGTGTAACAGCAGACTGGTAGAGTGCGAGCTCAACAAAAGCATAAAAAACCGTAATAACGTACCTGGCTCAGTGAATTTAAAACTAAGCTCATCGAGCCAGGTAACAGGTGGTAATATATATATATAGTGTTACGAAATGTCCAGGTGCGGTAAGATGGCTTCTCCGCAGAGCAGTTTCAGGGTTGCCACATTTAGCGAAAAATCACCCATTTGGCGACAACTGGCGATATACCATGGACGGATGGAGAACCTTCTGGAACGAATTCTTACCGGTTTAGCCCAGAATGTTCTCGAACACAAGCCGAAAACTATATAAACCATGCTGGTCCGCACTCAGTTAGTGTGTGTCTCGTGTAGCGAGTCAATCCCTACGGAGTGGATTGAGTTGACAGCTGGGCAGCGAGTGACAACTGTGTCGTCGAGTGCACCGCAAGAGTCTCGTAGTGTATCGCGGTTAGGTCATCGTCGAGAGAGCGTGTTGAGCTCTGGGAATGACATATATTCTTAATGCAGCTTTTAAATCCGAATTAATTTGAACTCTATTTTATTCACGAATTAGCTTAAAATTCAAATTTGTAGTTGCTTCAATATTTGGAATAATTGATACTGCGGTGTTTGTAAAACTAGATAAACTCAACTTGTGGAAATTTCACAAAACTAGAAACTTGAGCTATAATAATAACAATCATAATAGTGGTTTCTTTTAATGACAAATTATTTTTCCAGATCATACACATATTAGCTTTAAAAGTAGGTTCGCATGCTAGAAAACACTATACACTTATTAGCTTTAAAAGTAGGTTTGCTTGCTAGAAAACTCTGTAGTATCACAT